TCCCATATCTTTATCTAACAGAGCAATCCCAATATTTTTTTCCTTTTTGCCTATCTTTATGAAATGTCAGGTATCTCTAGATATTCAGTCCCAGCCTTGGGAACCTCGCAGCCATACCTTGTGTGATGGATATCAGATCCCAACCATTCATTTCGTTGTGCTGTCAATTTCATTGCCATGTTATAAATGCAGCATGTATTCAGAAATAATCTTTAATTTTTTCTTCTTACCCATTTTCCCTACTTTGATCCTATTTGTTGGGATGTCCTAAGTTTTTTTTTTTTAATGCTGTATCCTTCCCCCTCTGCTTCAGCTGATGCTGTAATACTTGTTCATGCGATTTCTTTAGACTTGATTATTCTGTTACCTAGTCAGTCCTGCTAGTTTGATTTCTGCATAAAGTTAAGCTGTCCAAAATTTTGCCTCCATTTTAACTTCCTCCAATTCCTGTCCTCCCCATCACTCCTATGCTCACTGACTGACATTGTCTGCCACTTTGCCAGCATTTCAGTTTTATGATTCCCAACCTTTTTAAATAACCTCCATGTCCTAGCTCCATTAAACTCCTCCAACTCAAAATCTGACACAAATCCTCCGGTTCTTACCTTTTTCTTTGTGTTGCTAATGTCAACAGAGTTCATCTGCCTTAGCCCTAAGCTCTAGAATTTTTTTCTTAAATCTCTCCACCTTATGGCACTCCTTCAAAACCTACCTCTTAAGCCAAGCTTTTGCTCACGTGAAATACTGTTTCTTAGGTCATTAAGTGTAAGTTTTAATTAATAATTACTACAGTGAAGTGCCTTGGGATTTTTACTATTTTAATGGCACTATATCAAAATATGTTCCTATATCAGGAATAAAACATAAATCCTGCCAAACCTCTTCCGATCATGGCTGAACTTCTGCATTAACTCCAGTTTTCTGCCCTATCCACATGCATTGTTTTCCTTAGTGTCCAAAAATCTAAATGCTTAGCCTTGAATGTACTCAGTGTCCGAGTGTCCACACCCTTGTGGAAGAGAGAATTTCAAAAGTTCTTAGACATAAATGATTGATCCCTTATCCTGGAACCTCTATTTGTAGACACGCTAAATCAGGGAAACAGATTCTCAACATCTACTTTTTCAAGCCTTCAGAATTTTATATGTTTTGTTGAGACTATATTGATAAACTCAGAATTGGCCAGTTCTGCTCAGTGTTTTCTCAGGGTAGATCTTTTCATCCTGGAATGCAGTCTTGTGAATTTTTATTGCACCCACTTTAAGGCAGGTATATATTTCTTTGGAAAAGGAATCTTAAATCAACACAATACTTTAGATCCAAGCACTGTAGAATAGCAGAGAATCCTTTAATCTTGTATAGGAATCCTCTTGCATTAAAAGCTAACTAAAGATCTTGCTTATTACTTGCTATGCCTGTTTAATAACTTCATTTCCCATCCCTAATTACTATGGAGAACTTACTCAATCTCTCCTCACAAGTTCCTCCATACCAGGATCAACCTAGTGAACCTTCAATGGACTGCCTCCAGTTCCTGCATACTATTCCTTAGATAAGTGGACTACAGCTGTTCGTGGTATTCCAGCTGTAGTCTGACTATTGTCTTGTGTAGTTATTAGCACAACCTCCCTATTTTTACTTTCCATTCCCTTTTGAAGCAAAAAAAAACAAAAGAAAAACCAGAAAACTGCACATGCTGGAAATCGGAAACAAAAACAGAAAGGGTCATTGGACCTGAAATATTAACTCTGCTTTCTCTGCACAGATAAAGTCATAGAGCTGTACAGCATGGAAACAGACCCTTTTGTCCAACCCGTCCATGCTGACCAGATACCCTAAATAAATTTTAGTCCCATTTGCCAGCATTTGGGCCATATCCCTCTATACCCTTCCTATTCATATACCCATCCAGATGCCTTTTTAAATGTTGTAATTATACCAGCCTCCACCACTACTTCTGGCTACTCATTCCATACATGCACAACTCTCTGTGTGAAAAAGTTGCCCCTTAGGTCCCTTTTAAATCTTTCCCCTTCCACCTTAAACCTATGCCCTCTAGTTTTGGACTCCCAAACCCGAGAAAAGACCTTGTCTATTCGCTCTATCTGTGCCCCTCATGAGTTTATAAACCTCTATAAGGTCACCCTTCAGCCTTCGATACTCTAGGGAAAATGGGCCCAGACTATTCAGCCTCTCCCTATAGATCAGACTCTCCTGTCCTGGCAACATCCTTGTAAATCATTTCTGAACTCTTTTAAGATTCACAACATCCTTCCTGTGGCAGGGAGACCAGAATTGCAATCCGTATTCCAGAAGTGGCCTACCCAATGTTCTCTACAGCTGCAACACAACCTCCCAACTTCTGTACTAACCAATAAAGGCAAGCATACCAAACACCGCCTTCACTATCCTATCCACTTGCGACTCCACTTTACAGGAACTATGAACTATCACTCCAAGGTCTCTTTGTTCAGCAATTCTCCCAGGACCTTACCATTAAGTGTATAAGTCCTGCCCTGATTTGCCTTTCCAAAATGCAGCACCTCACATTTATCAAAATTAAACTCCATCTGCCACTCCTCAGCCCATTGGCCCATCTGATCAAGATCCCGTTGTACTCTGAGGTAACCTCCTTCGTTGTCCGCCACAATGATCTGCTGCTTTTTTCCAGCAATTTCTGAATTTGTTGCCAACATTTCATTTGAATTCCCTATTAACTGCTGAACCTGGGTGCTAGCTTTTTGTGATTCATGCACTAAGACCCCAAATCACACTCAATAGTATTTCCCCATCTTTTAAAATTAAAGGATGTGGGCTTCTCTGGCTAGGCCAGTGTTTACTGCCCATCCCTAATTGCTTAGAGGGCAGTTAAGAGTCAACCACATTGCTGTGGGTCTGGAGTGACATGTAGGCCAGACCAGGTAAGGATGACAGTTTCCCTCCCTAAAGAGCATTAGTGAACCAGATGGCTTTTTCCCAACAATTAGCAATGGTCTCATTATCATTAGACTCATAATTCCACATTTCTGTTGAATTCAATTCCAGCATTTGCTATGGCAGGATTTGAACCCAGGTCCCCTCTGGACTAATAGTCTAGTGCTAATGCTAGAGGTCATTGCCTCCACTTTAAATAACATTCAGCTTTTCTATTGTCAAGTGGATTCTGATTGGTAGTGGCATTGCCAAAGAGAATGTACTGATTAATGTTAATTGGCAGTTAATTGCCAGGCTTTGTTTAACCCTTGTTGAAACAGTCCCTAAGAAATGAACCAGTGGGTGGTTGCCATCTGTTCTGTTGAATGCATTGACATTCTTGCAAATTGTTCTAATGTCAGGAAGGCAGAAAGCTTTGCTGAAGACTTTTTTTTTTCCCCAGCAGTACTTGTGTTGTTATATTTGCCTTTTTAAGTTTGCCCAATGGTTCAGAATCTTTATTAGTAATTTCAAATTTGCAACTGTTATGTGAGAAATTCCAAGAGTTAGGATACCATCCAAAATCAGGTGAATATAGCAAAGAAATGACAAACCATTTCTTCCCCTCCTCTTTGAGTCTGCAACTAGCACAACTCTTAAGGACTTTAGACTAATTAGAAAAGTTTGATTATATGGAATTCAGAGTGAGCTTGCCAATTGGACACAAAATTAGCTTAACAGTGGAGAAAGAGTGATGGTGGAAGGTTGTTTTTTGGACTGGAGGCCTGTGACCAGCGCTGTTCCACAAAGATCGGTGCTGGGTCCACTTTTATTTGTAATTTATAAAAATGGTTTAGGTGAAAATGTAGGAAGCATGGTTAGTAAGTTTGCGGATGACACCAACATTATTGGTAAAATGGGCAGTGAAGGTTTTCTAAGATTACAGAGGAATCTTGATCAAATGGGTCAATGAGCTAAAAAAATAGCAGATGGAGTTCAATCTGGTTAAATGCAAGGTATTGCATTTTGGTACAGCAAACAAGGGTAGGGCTTATACAATTAATGGTAGGGCCTTGGGTAGTATTGCAGAACAGGGGGACCTAGGGGTGCTGGTACATAATTCTTTAAAGTTTATATCACGTATAGATAGGGTGGTTTAAAAAGGCATTTGGCACACTTGCCTTCATTGCTCAGTCCTTTGAGTATAGGAGTTGGGACGTCACGTTGATGTTGTACAGGACGTTGGTGATGCCTCTTCTGGAATACTGTGTCCAGTTCTGGTCGCTCGGTCATAGGAAGGATATTGTCAAGCTGGAGAGGGTTCAGAAGAGATTTACCGTGATGTTGCCGGGACTTTTTTCACTTGAGCATAGGAGGTTGAGAGGTGACTTTATTAAGGTTTGTAAAATAATGAGGGGTATAGATAAGGTGAATGGTAGATGTCTTTTCCCTGGAGTGGGATATTTCAAGACTAAGGGCCATATTTTGAAGGTGAGAGGAGAAAGATTTTAGAAAGACATAAGGGACAGTTTTTTTTTTACACAGACAGTGGTTCCTGTGCGGAATGAACTTCCGGAGGAAGTGGTGGATACGGTTACCGTGACAACATTTCAAAGACACTTAGATAAGTGCACGAATAAGAAATGTTTAGAGGGATATGGGCCAAACGTAGGCTGGTGGGACTAGTTTAGTTTGGGATTACGGTCAGCATGGATTGGTTGGACTTGAAGGGCCTGTTTCCGTGCTGTATGACTCTATTACCCACACCAGCACTTTCTCTCAGCCGTCATTTTTGATCCCGCACCCATCCAACCTGTAATTCTTAATTTTTGTATGAAAGAGATCTCTCTACCCAGTATCCATTGTGACAAAGAAATCTCTATTCTTGTGATGGAAATATGCAAGCTAATATCCCAGTCAAAACAATAACTCTCCCCTAGGCATGCTGTGTAGAGAAATTTCCATTTCACAAGAGGCATTTTCTTTTGTCTGCTACCAACTCTTAGCTGTATGTCCAGTTCTAAACAAACTTGCAATTTGATGGTATTTTTTTTGTACAAGTTTCACTGATTTTATTGCATTTTCAGGGAAGTAAGAAGGAGGAGATTACTTGAAAGACGCGGGGAGGACTTTAAGAGGGAGGGAAGGATTTACAGACTGCGGACAGAGGATGATGCCGATGATGATGATAACAATACATGGAATGGCAATTCTACTCAACAAATGTAGCTTATACCCCTTATTAAAGTAGAAACAGTTGAACTTTATTTTGCTTTAAAGTTATACAAGTATACTTCCATTTTAAAAAATGAGAAACTGGACAGAGGATGTGTTTTGTACTGTTAATTTCCTGCTCTGCATGGATTTCTATGATTATTCTAATTCTGGGGTGGGGGAAGCAATAATTGCTACAATGAGAATGTGCAGAAAAATCACTTTAAGCAAGTTCCAAATTATGTTTCCAAACACCTTTTGCAGTAATATGTATTTTAAGTTCCGTGTTTTAAGTTTATCCATTCCCTGCCCTGTATGACATGTTAGCTGGACACCATCCAGTTTCTGGTCCTATTAATTTAAAACTGATAATAAAATGTTTTCAAAAAATGATTTTTTTGATGTGTTTGTAAATGTTTTCCTCTTCGACAAGATGTTCTCATTGGTATAATTTATGTATGATAGAATACGTGTACATTGTTTGCAATGGCAACTTTGCAAACTCTCCTAAACAGATCAAATCAAATGATGCAATGCAGTAAACAAATGTTACAGTTGAGATAATATTATAAAACATGGGAATAAGAAGTGGTTTATTATTACCATATGAGCCCAAAGATGGTTTGTGCTGCAACATACCTGAACCTGTTGTTATGCCTCACTCAGGTAGCACACTGGAAATCCAGCCCCACTATTCCTGGAATCAGTTCATAAATTAAAGATTTTACAGAAATATTAAATTTAACTATCATTTAGACTCAGGTTAATGGACTTATTACAGGTAATTATGCTGTAGCTACACATTAACAATTATGAGCCATTGGCATATAACTCTACTAACTGAAACTCTAATCTCAATCTGCCCTCATTCTTCTGGACTACAGTAAATATAATCCTAAATGACTCGACCTCAAGTCGTCCTGCCATCCCAGGAATCAGCCTCGTAAACTCTTACTGCACATTCTGTATCAGAAGAGCATCCTCACATAAGGAGACCAAAACTGCGCACACTATTCCAGGTGTGGTATCATCAAGGCAATTGTGGCAAGAGATCCCTGCTCTTGTATTTAAATCCTCTCGCTATGAAGGTCAATGCACAATTTGCCACCTTGACTGCCTGCTGCATCTGCATGCTTGCCTTCAGCGACTGATGTATGAGAGCACCCATGTCTCATTTTACATTTATAGCCATCACATGATAATCTGTTTTGGTTTTTACTACCAAAATGGATAACTTCACATTTATCCACATTATATTGCATCTGCTGTGCATTTGGCCACTCACTCAATTTGTCCAACTCATGCTGAAGCTATTCTGCAACCACCTCAGGTCACTGAGGCAGTCCTGAGCCTGGTTACATCACAATGAAACATGAATACCTATCCCTATCATAATGTGATGTTCTTCTGAATCATTCCTGTTACAGTATGTCATCCTATCCAATCTATTGTAAAAAAAGAAGGCATGATTAGGAGCAAGTGTCCATTTTATTTGTACTTCCTTCAAGTCTTAGAAAACTCAGCTATGAATAACTGTGGGAACCTGTCTTTTCTGAATTGGGGAATATATCAAGTTTGCCATCTACATAGATTCTGAAAGTAAGTATTTAGCAGAGTTTGCACATGAGCAGAGACAGCAGTTTCTGCCATGGCTTGAAATGTGGCAACATTGCTGATCTGTGGAGTGGCCCTGGTAAACACCTCACAGCAACACCTTGAACTTAAACACCTTTCAAAGAGGAAGCTAAGTGCTGTCTAGTTTTTTTGGAAATTCATGTTTGTGCCTGTAGATCCCATTTTTTTCTTTACTGTCTTGTTAATCCTTAACGAAGGTTGTACTCCAGTTTACATGCAATTTAATTCTCCAGAAACTTTCTAAATTGTTTCGCTTTGTGGCACAAACTGAGTGAACAATTCTATAATGACACTGAGATAGACGGCTGAACCAAATTCGCTTTTCCACCTTTATGTTTAGAACACAGTAAAATTAAAACTTTCAAAGTCCCTCAAAATTGACCTTAACCAGACTTTTTGAATGACCAATCCCAGACTCTGTGAATAATCCATTCTAGACACCAGGATTGTAGCTTAGCAGAAGATTTAGCAATTTATTTGCAATACAGTAACTTTAGCAGAGCAAAATTAACTAACAAAATAATCTAATCCATGCCTATAATTTAAAATGCAATATCTTTTGTTTTGAGCCCCATTCACATGAAAAAAAAACAGTTAAGGAATAAACAAAATAACAAAACTGGTCAGGTTGCTGAAGTGGTTTTCATGAAGTGCCATTCCACAGGTATATTTGACTGACATTTTCAAAAAAAGTCAACCAAGAAACAATTGTGGCTACTTTTTTAGCTCACTCACAGGAAGACAGTAATACTTGTTATGTTTCTATTCTCTGAACTTCTAGTAGTTGATAACGGCAGGTTAGGAAGAGAGTTTTCAAATCTTCATGCTGCAGTATTAACTGCCAAATTCCTTTTAAGAGAAAACACAGTTTAAAACACTCGCCTCTCCTTGTCAGACTGACCATCTTCCCATGATGTCCCGGTTACCATTTAACATCTGCCATCTGCTTGAGCAGAAGGTCTTTCTCAGACTTGCTGGAACCAATTCCCAGGTACTGGCCTCATTAAAGACCAAAATACTCTGTTGAGTCAAATACATTGCTCTTCCCCAGTCTTGAAGCATCTATAGAATCCTTTTGATCAAGAATTAACCCGCAATTGACTTCCAGGCCTAGCCTGACTTCTCTCTATCATCCTTTATTTAACACAATTTAATTTATTTAATTTGCCACTAACATTCCATTGTTCATTTTCAGTTCACCGTTCTCAGTTCACACCTCCAAACCAAAATTGACATGAATAAAATTAAAATAATGAAAAATCATCAAGGGTTCTAACAATTCCCAAACTCCCTTCTAGATGTTTGCTAAAGGTTTTGAATCACCATTTGAGAGAGGGAATAATCTTTCTCTATCAAAACATTGCATTATCTTGAAGCCTTCTATTAAATCACCCCTTAACCAAACCTCCTGTGAGGAAACACATTTAAATTTTCCTAACTCCTCAGCAATAAATACCCTAATTTTTTTTTTGAAGTGCAGTGCCCAGAGTTATCCACAGTGTTCCAGCTGGAGCCAAACCAGATTCATAAAGTTCTAACTTCATCTCTTTGATTGTCTATCACTGTCTGTGTTTACAAACCCAAGTTAATAATTATTTTAATAAATACCTATCAACTATCAGCTTTAACCATTTCAGTATACAGACACCAAGGTGCCTCTGTTCAGTTGTGGAACATTACCTTCTCAAGCAAATAGGAAAGTTAATAGATTCTGTTATCTGACTGACTGTCAATTAAAAATCATCCTTTTTTCAAATCCATATTTATAGTAATTGGAAAGTGTTCAAAGAAAATTAAAATAAAACCTTGGTTAATGGACCTATGAATTTTCTCTTGTGCTTCTCCTCTCCTGGACACACCTAGATAATTTGATATTTTGGCAATGTGCATGTTGATTACAGTAAAAACATACAAAACCAATAAGTTGAAGGTAATTGAACATTCAAATAATATGAAATTTATCTGTCTGGAATTTCTGAGGGTTTTCCCAGTCTTTTTTCAGTTTTTTTAGCAGAAACTTTATAGAAGCAATATAAACAACTGTCTCAGATTTTTGTTGATGTGGTGCAGAAACTATGCTTGGTGAATTAAAGTTTCCACTTACATCCCCTTCACTCTATCGTAATTCTCACTTCAAAAGTTAGTGTTATGATTTATTGATAACTCATTTGTGTATGAAGGTGATTTAGGTATATTTGCTTTTCTTGTTTTCCAAATTTTATGTGAAAAGAGAGCCAACAAAACAACAGCAACCAGTAAAATGGCGAACAAAGTATATAAAGCACTTGTGGCATTCACAGTAGATAGCTGTAATCCCAGAAAATGAACCCTTCCAGTGTTTGTTGGTGTGGTTGTTGGTAGGGGTTTCGCTGATGAGGGTTTCACGCTGGTAGCTGGAAAATCAAGCAGATATTTAGTGAAAGAATATTCCATAAGTTGCTACTTATCAATACGAAGAATGTTGCATTTCCCTACTTACAATTATTAACATTGAAAAAGATTTTTAAAAAACTAACAATCTAATAATTTCAGATGTAGTTGGCGAAAGGGGTGGGTTAATCTTCCAAATCACCTGCTGTAACCTTGGTAGAAACCCCAGAAAATAGAATAATCAGCTGTTTGTGTGGTTCCTATAGTTCTTCCATTATGTTGTTCACTGGGGAACCCCAGCTGGACATCCTACCCCATTTTCAGAACTTCTGCATTTAATTCACTGATGTAACCAGAGTGAGCATGTGGTTCCAATTAAATTGATATGCCTCATCACAAGGTGAAACTGTGATACTGGCCTGTTGCATGTACGCATTTGATTCCAAAGATTTCATGAAACATAGGATATATGTATAAAAACTGAAATAACTGGATGCTGGAAATCAGATGCAACAACAGAAATTGCTGGAAAAGCTCAGCGGATCTGGCAGCATCTGAAATCAGAGTTTACATTTCAGCCCAGTTCTGAGGAAGGATCAGTAGACCCAAAATGTTTGCTCTGATTTCTCTCCACAGATGCTGCCTGACCTGCTGAGCTTTTCCAGCCATTTCTGTTTTTGTTATAGGTTATATGTATTATAGACTGATAATGTTTTCCTGTGACTAGTGAAAAGGATAAATTAATTAGTAAATCACAAGGAAATATAAATTGTATCTGCAACTGTTAAGCTCGTGAACTCAAACATATGTGAAATTATCAAATTGAAGGCGATATCTGTGACATAGTGCCAGAAAAATAAACCTGAGCTGCTAGATATTGATAAACATTCAACTGATTCATTGAGTGAGTGAGTCTTGCCCGACGCTCCTCAAATACATTTTAATGCTATCTGCGCACCTGGACACAGAGTGCAACCCTGTAATAAATAATGGATGTAATGAAGATTAAGATAATTTTTACTAATCGATCCTGCAAAATGTTTGTCATCTGATGGAGTTGGTCCCTAAAATCAGAGAGCTGTTCCACAGACTAATCAAGCAACAGCCTGGCATTGTTATACTCTCAGAATGAAATCTGTCAGTCAACATTCCGATAGTAGATTGGATTCATCTGACAAATTAATACAATAGAAGTAACCAAAATCCTTATGATGACAAAATCTTGTTGCAATCATGATGCTATTGTCCACCACTTGTTGTAAAATTACTGCAAGGGCACAAATTGACACTTCTAGCTAGCAAAAGCTGGGTATTTTTATGATGCTGTGGGCCATTATCAAGAGGAGAATTATGCCCATCACCATTAAAGCAGGAGACAAACTCTGCATCAATACAAAGTGCAGAATGGCATTCCAGGAACCACATCAGACAAGCATTAGAATGGAGGGGGTGCAAAGGAGGTTCACTAGGTTGATTCCGGAGTTGAGGGGGTTGGCTTATGAGGAGAGACTGGGTAGATTGGGATTATATTCATTGGAATTCAGAAGATTGAGGGGGGATCTTATAGAAACATATAAAATTATGAAGGGAATAGATAAGATAGATGTAGAGAGGATGTTTCCTCTGGCAGGTGAAGCTAGGACAAGAGGGCATAGCCTCAAGATTAGAGGGAGCAGATTTAGGACTGAACTGAGAAAGAATTTCTTCACCGAGAGGGTTGTTAATCTATGGAATTCCTTGCCCAGTGAAGTAGTTGATGCTACTTCAGTAAATGTTTTTAAAAAAAAGGTAGATTTTTTTTGAACAATAAAGGAATTAAGGGATACGGTGAGAACGCGGGTAAGTGGATCCGAGTCCACGAAAGGATCAGCCATGATCTTATTGAATGACGGAGCAGGCTCGAAGGGTCAGACAGCCTACTCCTGCTCCTAGTTCTTATGTTCTTATGAGGTGGAAACCAAGAGAACCTATAACAAATGTCTACATATATGTTAAACACTAAGTGCAGAAATTGATAGAGGCAGAGGTAAATTGTCCTGCAGCCAAAACAATCAGGATAGTCCTGTAGCTTTTTCACCCAAGTATCAGGAAGAAGAGACTTCAGGAACATCCTCACCTTCAACCTTGGTAGAATCCAGAAAGTGCAAGTTTCTTTAAAGTTGACAAGTAAGTGATCCAACTCAGTGTTTTCCTGAATACTCATCCTTAGATACTGGGGTTAAGCCAATATGGTTCATTCCATGTGATGTTAACCAGTGCTGAGTACACCGGGCACAAGCAAAGGGTATCGACCATAACAAGATTTTAATTGTAGTGCTAAAGATCAGCTGAAGACTTTGCAACTCCACAACTAAGGATAGCTATGTTTGTAAGATCAGGAGAGGAAGAATCTGCTCTCCTCTTTTCAATCATTGTGGCTGGCCACGACAAGTGACTTAAGTTTTTCTGGCATGAAGTAATAGCTTTCTAAAGAAAATGCAGTTACTCAATGTCAACTGCATCAATAAGGAGTGAGTTACAAGATACTTGTGTGAGAAAGGAAGAGTAATTATCTGCTAAATCATAAAAAAATAATGTGACATCAAACCTACACACCACAGGCACAGAATTTTTTAAAAAAATAGCATCCAGTAGAAAAGGAAGACCTTTAGAGTATTCTTAAGATGTAAAGATTTTAACCTAAGACCACAGTTGGTTATTTGATGTTTTGAATCCTCAAGCAGTGGTAACTATTTCAGAACTCATTGAGTTCTCAGTGTCTGGCTGTTTCTCTCAATTATTTTAGTGACGGGGTGCTTTGTCCTTCAAAAGGCAAAGACAGCGAAAGCTTTCTCCAGTACTGCAGTCATAAATCATCTCCCTTGTTCTGCCAGAAAATAGCTTTTTGAAAGAAAACTTGTTTTGCGCAATCCATTTGCGAAAGTTATGTTTCTTTATGTTTGCTAATTGTAAGTGAGTTTCATCTCTGGCGTGCAAAAAGATATAAATGAAAATAGATGACGGTTCCATCGCATCCCTGACTGGGTTACCTGGTTACAATGTCTTTCGATATAATGTTGATTTTAGTTCAAACTGTCTTTGTATATCTTACATTGGTTTCAACAACCTGTGGTTAGGAAATTGCTGTGGCCATTTTAAGTCAGTATTTATCCTTTCTAAAACAATTTCAGTCCCAGGTATTAAAATTAGACAATGAAATTTTTAAAAATTTGTTGTCGATATTTTAGGATTGTCATGACGCCACCTTGCTGTGAAAAATGGAAGCAAACAATATTTCTCCTCGTTTATGGTGAATGTTCTGATATGATGTTAGAATGAAACATGGAAATTGGGACATTCACTCTCCATTCTAGACAACAAGGTGCAGGGCTGGATGAACACAGCAGGTCAGGCAGCATCATAGGAGCAGAGAGGCTGACGTTTCGGGCCTAGACCCTTCATCAGAAAAGGGGGAGGGGAAGGGGGTTCTGAAATAAATAGGGAGAGAGTGGGAGGAGGATAGAAGATGGATAGAGGAGAGGATAGGTGGAGAGGAAACAAACAGGTCGAAGAGGTGGGGATGGGGCCAGTAAAGGTGAGTGTAGGTGGGGAGTTAGGGAGGGGATAGGTCAGTCCAGGGAGGACGGACAGGTCAAGGGGGCGGGATGAGGTTAGTCGGTAGGAGATGGAGGTGCGGCTTGAGGTGGGAGGAGGGGATAGGTGGGAGGAAGAACA